AGCCTGCTGTTTCGTGCCTGTCTGTCTCGTTCCTGCATCTGTTCCCAGCAGAGCCCCACTCCGCACCGCCAAGGGCACGGGGTGCCGGCCGGGCTGGGGGCAGCCGGGCGCCCCGGCAGGTAACTCCTGCTGGGTCAGCGACCCTGGCCTTGCGGGCACGGGCAGTGGCACAGGCAGTCTCCACCGGACTGGCACCGCTGAGCCTGTGCTGCCCAGGAGCCCCCGAGGAAGCAGAGCAAGACAGTGCTGATTTGGGGAAAGTATTTTTTTCTTGTGACTGGCACCGCTCAGCCTGCTCCGGCGGTCCCAGGCAGTGGCTGGGAGCAGCCAGCTTGGCAGCACCCCTGCGCCTTCGTGACTTCCTTGCTCTGCACTGGGAAAGGGCCTGGCCGTGTCCCCAAATATCCCGGTGCTCTTTGGAGAGTGGTAGGAATAGAAACCAGTAAGTGCAGTGAGAGCCTGCCAGTCTGGGGACTCCACAGCGCTTCTGCCTGCTCCAGAAATAGGGTGCTCTGGGCAGCCCTGGTCGGCTGTTCCCACTGCAGCATCGCCCTTGTGCGGCAGGTTACTCCTCGTGAGCGGAAAACGTGACTCGCTCTGCGGTGGGCCACCCCCGTTTACCTCTGATGCTCCTGTTCTCACCAGCGGCACCCCTGCCCAGCACTGCAGCGTCCCTCACGTAGCAGCACACACAGACCTGAGGAAACCCAAGAGCCCTTCATCCGTTAAGTTAAGCTTAGGGGTAGGGTTAGATCTAAGGTCGGGTTAGAGTTAAGGGCAGGGTTTGGAGATGCCCTCACAGCACCTTGACCAGGCCAGGTGTTTGCAGGGGCTCACAGCTACGGCAGAGAGCCGACCTGAAGCCCTTTCTGGGTTTCCACGCAGCCCCTTCTCAAGGTCTGACAGAGGTTTTTGTCTGAGTCGGGTGAAAGACCCCACCAGGGCATCGCTGCTGCCTTGCTCCTCAGCCTTCCCACCATGCCCTCTGCTCCAAAGCGCCGCCGGGCTGCTTCCCCGCTCTCATGCTAAGCAGAAAGCGCACTGGGCAGTTCTCCCAGGTCCTGCCCGGAGCTGGGGGGCTCGGGGGCTCGGGCCGTGCCCCGGGGCTCCCTCCCAG